TTTAACGATTTTATGAAAGAAAATGTACCATGTTCGACGCCTACATTTTTTGTATATACATATTATGTTGTATGTATGCATATACACACCTTTAACCCAAAAACAGCTTGTCTGACCTGGATAGTTTTAAAATGTATAATGTTAAATCGCGATAACCCCGGAGATAGTGTCATAAAATTTTCTATGACATAGGGCATGCTTTCGAGAAAATAAGAAGAAAATAAAATTATAAGTATTTTAATAGATCTAATAAGGAGATTTTAACCTACACGCAAAACTGAACAATCATTTAGACATGTATAAAAAACGTGGTTCATTTATTAATATTTTTTAAACAAATTCCGTTAGCGTGAATGTTTTGTACCATTATGTACGAATACTACAAAACCAACTCCTTACAAAATCTTCTTAAATGTTCCCCAAGATGACAAACGGTTTTTTAAAGTTTTATGCATTAAATATCAATATTATTGTAGTAAAGTTATAAAATACCTAAGAAAATCATTTTTTTTAAATCCCAATTGCCGAATGTATGAAAGCGCATCACTTTAGTATAATTGCACCTATTTAGCTAATTCTTTTTTTTAATTGTGTTGGTAATTAGTTCATTGAAAGGTTACATTTTTGGACTTAGTGTGCAAAAGTCAGAACAAATCAGTCAGAGCATATTTTTTTTGGATATCAAGAGGGAGTTAGTGTAAAGTTAAATCCATGTTTGTGGGGTCGCAACCCTTGTCCCGCAGTCGCCATATTGTAAAAAGGGGTGCGAATGATTTTTACGCTATATCGGGCAAACTATTTGACACACAGAAAATATGTAAAACATTTTTTGTTACAAATTAAATTATCTACAACTTTATTTCTGTAACTTTTAGTCGTAGAACCCAAAAATAATAAAATTAGAAACAATTGGTCATAACTCATTGTAACTTTTTTTCTGGTAATTTTACAAAAAAATAACATCAAAGCATTTTGATAGAGAGGTATTCAAGGAATAATTTCCATTGACATTTTTTAATTTTATTTATTTATCTATTAGGGTTATACACGTTGCGAATCTAACACTATTCTCCAGTACTCGTAAGTAGGTATTAATATGAATGATTAGGCATAGCTTTCTCTCATCTTTCCATTATTTTTATACGAAACCTTTTTTTCTGTTCCAGTTGTGCTACGTATTTCGCCACGTGCAGACGTATTTAATTGTAAAAAGTATTTTGAGTCCTAGATTCCCTATCTCCTCGCTTATCCAAAAATACCACCCACTCTTCCAGAGGCCGCGTCTTATATACTACTTGTGCCATACTAGCAATTGGTTCTTATAATGCTGCTTCGAGGGTTCAGAAATAAAATATGGGCTGTCGATAGGTCAGTGATGTAAATGAATGAAGTAGTTCACTATCCTGGGGAGTTTCTTAACAGTGTTAACTGTTAACCTATCAAGCTTTCATTCTCATAAAGTCCTTGTAATGGTTGGATGTAACCTGTATTAAATAAGCTATTTAAGCTATGTAACGGATGTAAACTGCGAGTAATGGAGTAATACACGCACACAAATACACACATATGTACATACATAGACTGATAAGCACATTACCCTCCTTTGCGTCGCGCAGTCGGGTAAAAAAAGTTTTTAATTATGGGTATAACATTTTTTTTGTTCAGTGTAATTCTGTAATTTATAATAATGAAAAATAGTTTACTAAAACTAATTTTATACATGCATACAAGTTTATTAGAAGGCTAAAGTACGAGTATAATAGTAAATTATAATAGAAACAATAACCTTTTTAGCAATTTTGCATTTATGTTCACTGTTGAAATTGCAAACAATTTTAGTATTCTCAAAGTAAACAGTAACCAAAAAGTGGAGGATTGTTGGACAAGTTGTTTGAATGTTTATTGAACCAGTTATCTGGTAGACTTGATATGAAGATTTTGTAAATCGTAAAGATTACACCGTACACTGACGTAATAGCGTTTTTTAAAGGATTTTGTACAATATTAATTTTATTACTATTTTGTTACTAATATTGCATTGATAGTTGCAGATGCATAACATCGTTTAACATTTTCAAACTACGTAGGTACATATACTTTTTAGAAAACCTATATTTTCTTTAGATTATCTGTATTATGTGTATGACTAAAAATTATTTTTCACTACAAGATCGCTATTTCAAACCATAATAAATCATTATAATTTTAATATTAAGTTTATACCATTTAATGCTGTACTATACCTATACCGCACTAAATTAACTTATTTTCTCACTTCTGAAGGGTTTCTGGAAGAAATCTCTTAAAGAGATAAGTTATCCTTTGTCGACATTCTGTTAGTTTATTTTGTATAACATATATTTCACGGTACATAAATGAATAAATAAAAAAGTTACATATTAATCATTACATATCTTAGCAAAATAAATTTTATATTACAACTTTTAATACAACTAGCATTGCCCGCGGCTCCGCCTGCGTTCAGATGACTAAAAACCAAATTCTTAGGTTTTACATATTAGTATACTCTTACATTGCAGTTTTTGTATTTTTTCTCAGAAATGAGACATTTTCCCGCGGTAAAAAGTACCCTATATGTTGACCCGGATAACCAGTTATCACCATACCAAATTTAATCAAAATCTCTCCAGTGGTTTTACTGTGATGCGGTAACAGACAGACAGACAAAAATTCTAAGAACTATAGATTCGGCCTCTGCATCGATAGTAATGTTTGTTTCAATAAGGGTTTCCAAAAAATATCTAATGTACAGATTCGGCTTAGTTACAATTTTATTATATGTATAGATAAACACGAGTATCTACAGAACTTGGCACCCATCTCAATTTTTTGGTCGGCGAAGTCGACAACTACGCATATTCCTAATATTGAACCTTTTGTAAAGAAATTATTTTTTCTTTTTTTCTACGTGTACGCTGTATAATTTTCTTTGTTAAGCTGTTTTCTAAATTTTTTTAAGGTTGTAAATATTAGAGCGCATTGCCCATTCATGATGTGCTATTTTTACACGCTTTTGGTTTATGCGTAAGTTGGCTAAGTCGAGATGGTATAACGTTCGCAGGCGGTTGTATTCTACTATAGAACTAGATTGATAAGATGTGATTAAATATGCTGACGAATCCCTCCTTACAGATACCTAGATTTTTCTAAGTCTTTATTAAAAGTTTATAGACAACAGGAATCGAATCTGACTTCTTCTAAATCACAGACTTACTATTTTTAAATATAAGTAAGTATATAGCAAGATTGTGTATTAATGAATTTCCTTCATAATACAATTGTTCGCAATGATGTGTTATTATATTGGTTCTCTAAATTATACACACAATCTGGTATACTAAACGATAAAAGTGACCTTTCATCATGGAATCTATGCTTATGTAAAAGAAAAAGTTTTTGCTATTATAATTTTGAAAGGCGCTAGGAGTAAGTAAAATTTTTATAAATAACCTGGTATACAAAACGATAAAAGCACGGTAATATGCATTACATTACCGTGATAAAAGTAACCTTTCATCATGGACTCTATTCTTCTGTGAAAGAAAAAGTTTTTGCTATCATAATTTCGAAAGGCGCTAGCTAGGTGTTAATAAAAATTGATTGCTTGGAAAATATTTCAAATCGTAAAAATTCATTGTTTTCTAATTGTTTTCTTTACTTATATAAACACAATTACCCAACTGAACGCTAAATTTAAACTTTCTAGGTCATCTGGAAGTGCGTTAGGTTTTTGATTTATATGTCAGTCAGTCAGTGATAAGATGCCGATTTTTCACGTTAATACCTCTGTTAACCGTTTCAGCTATATTTATGAAATTTAGGCTGGTTAATATAAGGGGATTTAATAAATGAATCAAAAGTGACTCCGAATGGTTCGTGTAACATAGCACACGGCTGTTGCATCATCAGTTCGTAATTTTGTTACATAAATATAAGAAATAAATGGTTATAATAGCTTTAATTTCTTACAATTAGGTACGAGTAGATACATTTTGGAATTTAAATGATTTTAAATATAATCTGACTTTTTAGTATACAGCTTATAGATAAGGACAGATAAACTAAATACAAATTGGCAGTTAGTAAATATAACTAACATACATTTCGTTATGAATGAATGAAGGACTTTTAAATAAAGTATTTTTAATTTAATTCTTCTTCAGGTAACAATAAATCAAACAAAAACAGTTAGAACAATATTTTCAAAGATTAGATTATTCAAACTACAAATATAAAAAATCTGGAGTAGTTCTCCCGCAAAGTCGAGCAAAAAAGGCATAGTTGTACCATACTATTCTCGAAGCCATTCAGGACATTTTTGACCCTTCTGTTACTTCATTGTGGATAGAAGCCTGAAATGTCAGTGCTTAAGAGTACATTACATAAATAGGTAGATATATACCCAAATTACATTCAATTTGAATTAGCGGAAAAATTGCTCCAATTTTTGCAATAATCTTTCATTATTCTTGAGATCTAAAAGTCTTCAAAAATAGTATTATTTCTGGCAAAAGTTTCTTCTTTAGTATTTACTTCTTTTTATGTTAAGATAGTGATAGCCCAGTGGTAGCGTGATTGCTTGGGAAAATAAGTGGCAAATAAGTAGCATGGTAGAGTAAGGGGAAAATAAGTAGCAGATTCAAAGTTAAGATCTCGTACTTCTGTGTGAGAGTTCTATTTTCATATGTGAATCATTTTCAATATGATTAGTCTAACGGTGAAGGAAAACATTCTGAGGAAACCTGCATGCCCGAGGGAATTTAACAAGTTTTCGATAAAGAAACGAAAAAAAAGTTAAAGAGAGCTGAATCCTCTTTCTAATGAATTGGGCTAAGATGATTGCATAAATCGCAAGATTTATAATAAAAAGAAAATTAAAGATCATTTATTAATTAAACAATAAACATATTATAATTACACTATTATTTAAATGAAAATACATACATAATTTCATTACCACCGTTACAAATGGTTTATTACTCTGTTTTACGGTGTAATATTTCTATGATATCCATTATAGTGACAGTACAACCTGAAACTAAACTAAAAACGCCAAATAGGATAATTAGCATATTTTTCCAAAGAATCCATTTACATTTTCCGAGATTTTCCCACCGGAACACTGTTTCGATAATGCCAGGAATCACAAGACCGAGGATTGAGTAAAAACAGGCACCAACAATATTAATTATTTGTTCTAATAAGGGCAGCGCGATACCAATTCCCACTGTAAAATAAAACACATATTAATTATTTATTATGATAATGTAAAAAAATCTGACTGCGTAAAAAGCGAACTAAAAATGAGAACAAGTTGACGAAGAAAGATAGTGCTATGCGGTCGGAGACGTACAATACACTAGCAAGTCTCGCGCCTAGTACTCGTAGGTATAAAACACGTACGTGCATCTGTAATATGTATGTCTCCGACTGCAAAATACTAAATTTCTTCGTCACCTACTTCTCATCTTTTTAGTTAGCTTTTTACGCAGTAAGTAAAAAAGGTGATAGAAAGATAAACGAATCCTAATTTTAACCAACTTTCAAAAAGGATGAGGTTCTATATTCGGATGTATGTATTTCTTTATATTTATTTCACTATTGACTATTTAGGAATTTACTTTAGATCGAATTAAAATTAACGATATCGGAGAACACACATTATTCATTGTTAAACTGACAGAGAAATCGATGGAAGGAAAACAAGGTGGTATAGCTCTAAAATTATAATGATTAATTGTAAGATTAAGGAACTACTTACCTGAGCATAAGACGCCAGCAGTTCTAGCCATAATGTCGGTAATCGTGCGGTAGTTATCTTTTATGTAAGGATCAATGTGTTTCTTAAAAATGTCAAACACCACGTAAAATTGAAGAGGATAAGTGAAGAAAATGGATAGAGCTATAAAAATTTTTGCACATATTGCTGGCCTGAAACGAAAAATAACATGTAACTGTTAAAAATTAACAGCAATTTTCTTTAGATCAGCTCTGTCTAAAAAAACTGTTCATAAAATAACTAACTATAAATGGTTCGTCCCAGGTCTCGAACCTAGGACTTCGTCCTCATCTTCTGCGTCGGATCTACAGTATTACGTGTTAGCCACAGACCAACGACCAAGTCGGTCGATTTAAGTATTATTAACTAATAACATTCACTGAATAATAATAATAATAATTCAGTTGGAGTTTTAAATTTTGACGTACATATTCTTGTCTAAGATCCATAATGAGGCCGTCCTTCACATACCTATTTACCCAACAGTAGTAATTAATAGTAATTAGTTTTAGATACATATAATAAGTGTATAAATATATAAATAAATATTTCGCAGATCGGTTTTTCGATAAAATATAGTCAAGGTGTCCATTTCCTAAATATTATGCAAAATTTTATTCAATTGCTGCTATTAGCAGTTTTAGAAATTCTTTATGAATGAGACCAAATTATATAATAATATTAATAAATCTCCTGAGCAATTTCGGCCACGGTAGTTAATCTAACTATAAAATACTTTTCATCCGTTAAGCAGATGGGTGAAGGAAGCAATCTTTGGACTTTATACTAAATTTTTTTATAAGGATAGATGGTAAAATCACAAATCTTGTACCAACAGGTTTATTATTCATGTTATTAAATCAAATTTTCCTGCTTGGGTGTCATATGAGGGTATTAATTTAATCTACCTTGAGAGTAGGCTTGAGATAATGTCTTATGTCGGTACGTCGGTACTACACTTTATACTATACCTACTACCGTAATGCGTTTATATTATTATTTTCAAGAACTTTCCTGTGAAGTGTTTTGATGTTTGGAATTAACAAGTGATAAATAGAATTAAAAGTAAAACAAGAAGATTATAGCTACTTTTTATTGTATACCTATTTGGTTGAATGGATGTGGATAAATTTAAACTAATTTACACAAATATTATAGAGTGGTAAAGTTTGCAAGATTTGATGAACGGGGTAATGTAGGAAGTATCCCACATTAACAGTCTGATCCAATTCTGAAGATTCTTTAAAAAATAGGAAGCTACATTTCCGCCGAGTATTGTATTGTATTGTATTCAGCCCTTTTTAACGTCCCACTACTGGGCACGGGCCTCCCTTCAATACGAGGGGGATCGGGCGATAGTCCACCACGCTGGCCAAGTGCGGGTTGGCGGACTTCACATGTCTTTCGACAACTTGCTAGGTTCTCTCAGACATGCAGGTTTCCTCACGATGTTTTCCTTCACCGTAAGGCAAGTGGTAATCATGTTGGAAATGATTCGCACATGAAAATATCAGAGGTGCGAGACCTGGGATTTGAACCCGCTTCACTCGGTTTCCCAAGCGAGCGCGTTACCACTCGCTACCACTGCCTCCGCCGAGTGCTATAGGTTATTATTTATTCTGATAAAAATGTTGTATTTAGGTACTGTCGGAAATTGTAACTTTAATTGCAATCGAAAAAAAACTGGCAGGTTGAGTTGCTTTATCGGGATGCACTGCCTATCTGTTTGAATACAAATAATATTCTTTATTACACAACACAACACGATATAAATAAATCAAAGAAGAAGTGAGGTGTCTAAAATCCATACCTACTAATATTATAAATGTGAAAGTGTGTTTGTTTGTTTGTTTGTTTGTTTGTTTGTTTGTTTGTTTGTTTGTTTGTTTGTTTGTTTGTTTGTTTGTTTGTTTATTTGTTTGTTTGTTTGTCCTTCTTTCACATCGAAGCGGAGTGGCGGATTGGCGTGATTTTTTGTGTGGAGATAGTTAGAGGGCTGGAGAGTGACATAGGCTACTTTTTACCGCGGGAGATTATATAATTCCCACGGGAAAACACGTTATAATACAATCTAAAAAAGTATTTATGATCAGAATTACTTGAAACTTGGTATTAATATAATACAATCTAAAAAAATATTTATGATCAGAATTACTTGAAACTTGGTATTAATGCTCTTCAATATAATTAAATAAATACGTGTTTTAGTATTTTATAAAATTCATCCTATAAGGGGTTAAAATAGGGGATGAAAGTTTGTATGAAACTACATTTTTAAGGATTTTTTTGTAGTTTTCGCGCGAGCGAAGCTGCGGGTTGTGCTTTGTAGTTGTAAATAAAGCTGCAAAATGTAAAGCGAGAGTAAGGTAAGCTAAGTTTAAAATCTTCTACCCTTGATGCTATTTTTATGTTGAATAAACAATTAAAATATTTAAAACTATCAACCTTAAGAAAACTGGTGATTAATGGAAATTACTTAACACAATGATAACATTGCACCACCTTTGTTATCTCATATGTTCAATAAATGAATATGTACGAGTGAAATTTATAAAAAAAATATTTTAAATCAACTAAATTAGTAGTTGATTTATACACATACAGTTTGGTTGGTAGTAATTTCAACATAAATAATATTTTCGATAGTGAACAGTGTGGCCTTACCTCGTATAGTACCTATATGTGATCAGTAGTTTTACTAAAGGCAGGTTTACTGCCGATGCGGAAATTGCACTTCTCAAACATATTTATTACGCTTGGAAAAATCACAGAATTTCATTGGGGTTTTCTGGGTGTGGAGTATTTAACCGTCTTGCTTGCTGATTTCATTTTGTATTCATTTCAGTATAGTAGAACCTGGGCGATAGAACTTCGTTTGGCGTAGGCGCTCGTTCAGTAAAATATATATCAAACATTGGCGAGAGTACAAGTACTACAAACATTTACGAGATGGCTTTATAGGAGATCAGTATAAGAGGAGATTCAAAAAGGCCCTAATAATTAGCTATACATTTTTTTTGGTGAAAAATTGCGTTTTTCAGAAAGTACCTACCTTATCTAAATGTAAACTAAATTTTTAAGAGCCGTTTCCGAGATAGACGAAGTAAATTTATATACATATGTATATGTACGTAAACAAGAATTGTTCATTTTATATTTTAAGATTCATTTACCATTTTTACTTACCATTCATCTATAGGTAGGTTTAAAGTAATGGATCCCCGTAAAACATCTCCATATCTTAAATATCCAAAGAGGCCTAGTGTACTGTAGAAGAACACAATTGCTGACATAGCCACGACCAGCACACTTGGACAGCCAAGGAAATTTTGAGGCTTTTTCATTGCATTTTCAACGGGCATTACCACCCCAATGCCCTCCATCGCGAAGATCACAGTTCTAGTAATTACATGAAATTCATTAATACTAAATACCCTATGTTACGTATTTATTAAAAAATATTTATAGTAAAACGAAACTTTAAGATGAAATTTTTTAACCATATTTAGGATAATGATAGTTTTAGGTACTTCGGAAATATTTAATGCATATCACACCTCTTCCATGACTTTGATTGCTGTAATAGCCCGAGAGCTGGTGACGAATTTTGGGAAGTTCCTTTTGACAAGTTGAAATTGTGAAAAAATATAATTTCGTCAATTGGCGAGTCCAGTCCCGCGAGTCTGGAGTAGCTTTAGCGGTTACTTCGTTACTGCGCAGTATATAACATTTGCAAAAAAATATATCCAAAAAAACATATTTTTGGCAACTTGATTTTTGTTTAATTTTTTAATTTAGTTTTCATATAATTCAAAAAAAAGAACCCCTGACGTTTTTGTCTGTTATAAAGTATTGCCAGACCTCTCCAAAGATGTTTTATTGAAATTCCCAAAAATATACATTTGACAATCTGAAATTTTAATCACGAATTTATTGAGTAATTTTCAATGATACTTGCAATTTTTTTTTCAACAAATAATTCTACTTCTCCAAATTCTAGTTTCCGTTTTAAATTTAATATCGCTATTGCACTCATCTGGAACGTCTGAGTATCTATTTTTTTTGAATTATATAAAAACTAAATTAAAAGATTAAACTAAAATCAAGTTGCCAAAAATAAGTTTTTTTTGGTTATTTTTTGCAAATGTTATATACTGCGCAGTAACGAAGTAACCGCTAAAGCTACTTTATACCAGACTCGCGGGACTGGACTCGACAATTGACGAAATTATATTTTTTCACAATTTCAACTTGCCAAAAGGACCTTCCCAAAATTCGTCGTCAGCTCTCGGAATATAAGCAATCGTGCGAAACGCGAATCGTCGGCGCGTTATAGGTATTGACTTCAAACATTAGGAACTATTTTGTTATAAAACAACGTAGTATTATAATAATTTTTAATTTAATTAATTTATTTAGTACATACAGAGAAAGTTAAATAAGAACAAGTTGTACACATACATATTTTCTATACAAAAGATTTAATTGAAATAATTCGATGACTATAATATAATATACCACATTACGCCGTAAATGTACGTGAGTTGGAGCTTGGAGCTAATTTAACAAGAAATGAGTCTTGCAAGGGTTGATTAGCTAAGATTGAAAACCGTGATAAAACGTACTTTTAGTAAGAAGAATTTTTTCCCAGATGGTTAAGGGGGGTAATTATTTAATTAAAATTCATATCGTTATTTTTATTGACTTGTAATATTATAAATGTTATTCATTGAATTGTGTAATTACTTACGATAAAAACACAGGAAATCTTGAAGGGTTGCCGACGGCCTTTTTGTCCGAGAACGTTATTTCCCCTCCAAAAATATAATATAAACAAATGAAATATGTCAGGAGGAGGAAAACGTTTGCCAGAATAGAAAATATCGCGAGCCATTTCAAATATCTCACTTGGCACAACAAACATAGAGGAATTAATATGATCAAGCAATAATACTCTACGGATAAGTTTACATTTGGTACATATTTGTCGAGTAGCTGTAATTTAAAGTTAATAAATTAAAATTATCTGATGTAAAAGCTTTCTCCATCAATTGAGACATTAATATTGTATTAAAGTAAATACAAATTGAACAAACCTGCTTGATAGAGTCAGCTATTAGAACAGTATATATACAACAAACACCCATATACGTTGAAAACAAGGCAAACTCTGCAAATGCACTGGAACATAAAAATAATCATTATAATAATAATAATTTTAATCACTTTTATATCCTGATATGTGCTTTCTTAATAGGATAGTCAATAAACTGATATCTTTTTAAGCAAAATTCTTAATAGTAAAACTTAGGAGGCATTTCATGTGGAGGTTCTGAAATTCGTCGTTATTAAGCTTAATTGAACACAATTTTGTGTTTGTCTGAGATTTAGTTAGCAAATTATGAGCTTCTAAAGAATTTAAATTTTGATGAAAAAAAAAACATATAAGCAAATATACTTAAAAGATATATATATGCTTGTTTTCACTAGTATCTGAAATACATAGTTGAAGTGATTATAGCGAGATTTTTGAATAAATAGGAAGATTCAGGTGTTCTGAGTGTTGGGTGTGGTAAATGATAGAGCGAACACTACTATTACTTCATTCAAAAAATATATTATGAAGTTTTATTTAAATAATCAAATCGTCTGGACTCTAAGGGCTGAAACTAAACTGATTTTCCACTCAAAAGCATAGCGAGGGTTAAATTTGGAAATAATTAATTTATATAACAATATTTTTTTGGATGTAAAATAAAAAAAATCAGACGGACAATCTGTTAGTTTGTATGTAAAGAAGGACAATAACAAGTTTACATTTTAAGAATTCTAAGGAGAAAACAAAGTGTTATTATATAGGTACAAATTATTGATGGTTTGTTGCACCGGACAAATAAATAACTACGCTGCATAAAACGTTAATTAGAGATTAATAATTTGCATCAGCAAAGTGATTGTGTACGAAAGGCGTGGCTGAAATTAGGTCAGTTAGTGTAATAATTACCTCTATTACATAATTATAACAATAAAATGCATACAACTGGTAAATTTTACATATCAGTGAACATTGCTGATAAAAGTCGGTGCAATATTTAAATAAAATTATTAAATAAAGCTAATTTTTTGTGTATTATGTTCAAGCATTCTCTTATCGTTTTATGTAATTTTTTTCAAGAAATAATTCTACTTCTTCAAATTCTAATTTTCGTTTTAAATTTAATATTGCTAATTTTAATGATAAAAATTTAAACGAACATGCTACTAATTAATATTTTATATATACACTAGCATTGCCCGCGGCTCCGCCCGCGTTCAGATGACGAAAAATCAAATTCTTAGATTCTACATATTAATATAGTCTTACATTGCAGTTTTTGTATTTTTTCTCAGAACTGAGATATTTTCCCGCGGTAAAAAGTATTCTATATGTTGACCCGGATAACGAGCTATCACCATACCAAATTTCATCAAAATCCCTCCAGTGGTTTTTCTGTGATGCGGTAACAGACAGACAGACAAAAATTCTAAAAACTATAGATTCGACCTCTGTATCGATAATAATGTATATTTCAATAAGATTTTCCAAAAAATATTTAATGTACAGATTCGGCTTAGTTACAATTTATTTTAAGTATAGATATATAAATAATGTATAATTGTAAGGATATTCCGATATTGATCTTATATAATACTTCAAAGTTAATACCTGGCAGCATTGGAGTAGCGTTGGACATTTTTTGGTCCATTTTGAAATGCTGATTTGCATGTCTCTGCATAACCGAGCAACGGTTTCCGTTCTATTTTACAGCAACCACGTGAGGTTTTCACCTGTGATTTCGTAACAGTAACTTAGTGACCAACGTAATGTAATGTCAGTGGTGTAGATTTTCGCTTTACTTTATAATGCATATATAAGTAAATGGTTTAATTGATACGGTATGAATGAATGTAATTTATGTTAGAGAAAAAATAATTTATTTTATGTTAAATATACTAACAAGGATATGAACGCAGTGGCCGCATATGAAACCAACCAAGAGCGTCCCAATAATACCGACTCCCCATCCAGAATTGGAAAAGGCAAGAGGACCAGCTAATAAGCCAGAACCCAAAGAGGCTTTGATAATATTAGCTGTAGCTCTTATATCCCTGTAACAAAAAAATGTTATCCATTGAGCACTGGTTTCGGTTACGGCGGCCAATCTCACTGAAACTAGCAACTTTTCGGGACATATTATAGTACGTACTTACAAAAGTGTGTGCGTAGAAACAAAAAAAACAGAGAAATATCTGTACTGAATATAAGGTGAAAAAAATGTCTACTAATTAGTAAACAATTAGCGTTAGCGTTTGGGAGATCTTAAATAATTATTTAAGTATATATTTGTTTCTAAAGGAGTTTTTTTTATTTAAGTTAATAAATCACTGACTCATGACGTAAAGATTGTATCAACGTGTGTGTTACCTTATTTTAACGAAAATGATTGTGCAGACCATATGAAAAAAGCAGCCAAAAGAAAAAATATGGTAATATAAAAAATCCAGTAAAATTATAATTTAATAATATTAAAATAATTTAAAATTTTAAAATAATTTGTAATAACATTTTCAAATCTAAAATAAAAACGCCGCTCAGGCGCTCAAGTAAAAACACTTCGTCAAACTAATGCGTTCTTGCGCCGATTTACCGTTTACTCACTATGTGTAACTCAGCTCAGAGCCGGTTCAAATATTCAGTTCACAGTAGCTAGAGCCGTTGAGCTGCGGCTCAGTTGCTAGATAATCGGTTCACAGCTCAATATTACTTAATATGGCTCCGTGCATCACTTCAGTGCCACCTAACGTCAGCTATTTCGATGGACCCGAGCCGACGGACCTGTACTATAGTCTATAATCTATATTATTATACTCTGCGACGGACGGTATGACATTTCATCGCGACGTAAATATATAATTGCATGAAATTAACATTCCCCTATAATTGTGTAAGAACGAAAAAATATGACTATAATAACTTTTTTCGAAATGCTGCTTTATTACATACAAATATAATTTAGGTACATCATACATGTCATTTGTTTGAACAGAGTCATAAATTAGCTGAAAATCTATAGTTATAAGTACCCATACAACATCAATTGAGCTGAACTGTAAGCCGGTTCACAGCTCCGGTTCAAGCATATGACTCATGAGCTGACCTGCAGATCATAAAAATTCATTGAGTTACCCATGTCTACCGTTTACGTATACGTATCGGCGGATATATATTTTTTTACAATCCGACACATCTTCTGTACATCTATCTATACATACAATATTTATTGTTACATATAGTTTATTGTTACTGTCGATAATAAGTTTGATGGTATGGAATCTAGGTGTCGTACTAATCCAATATTTTTTTCTTGGTGATCTTATTTCTTATCCGTTACAACTAGTAAAACTACGAAATATATTTCTTCAACATATCTATTCAAAATTATTATAATATTCAAGGTAACGTGCGAAGGACAATTAAGAGGTTTTTTTATAAAACTAGCGACTCGCTTCTTTCGGGTTCTTAAGAACACCAACAACATGACACGCAATACATTTTATATTCATTCTTAATTATAAGTTCTAGTATGCTAGCTATCATAGTGTGCGTGAGAATTTGCGTATGTTGTATTTGTGTTGTTAACGCCCGGAGGGATGCAAAACAGTATGAAACAGATAGCATTTTTTAAAAACCCTACTCTCGCCGCGTAGCGGCACTTCACAATTCTCTTAATCACTTACATGTGTCCTTAACACTGAACAACAACAAACATACATGCGCTGCTAATATAAAGAGAAAAATAAAACTAAAAAAATAAGGTAAAAATTTATATAAAAAATCGATTAAGTAAAAAACGAATTATAAAATAAAGCAAATGCATGCTTAGGTTTTAAATAGATAAAAGTGGTTATTGTGAGTGTACCTACCTTAGGAGATACACTCACACTTTTGTATAGGTATTTAATTTTTAAGACATTGTTCTGATGATCTAATCTATCTGCTAGCATTAACCATGTACCTAATTGAACGTCAACATTTTTTTTAACGAAAGACCGTCATAGTTCAGTCATCTTGTACAAAATGTTTAAAAAAATATATACGCAAGCTTTCCACGTTCATCGCTCGTTCTATTAGCGAGATGAGACTATATAAACACTCATTGCGTGTTTTAGAAGAAGTAAGTGTATAGGTAGGTTTAGATGAGTGGCTTGCGCTAGGATTATAATATGGCTGTCTTCAAGGCAAGAGTGAATAGGTGGCTCCTGAATTAGTGCGACTTATCATCTACGACTGCGTTACCACTTACCATCAGGTGGAACGTAGTCAATCACTAATTCTGAATAGTATAAAAAAAAAACTAAATTTTCCCACGAAAATGAGAAATTGTTAAATATGTGAATTATTAACCTGCTTTATTACTTATTAAAAAATTTGGTGTTATAAATTATTGAAATTTTTGTATGAAGGACAGCCGGTCGACCAGTTAGTTTGCACACACAGACAAATAAACATACAGACATAGAGGCAAATAGACTTCACTTTGTAACTGTTGTTATAATATAGGTATAGATGTCATACTAATAATAATATGTATAAAATTTTAAACATGGGGATCGAATCGAATTTCGATTCTAGGAAAAATGGATGAGAACCAAAATTGTAGGAAATTTAATTTCAAACAAGTTTTGTAATAACTACTTTTGTGTATAATTGAAAATAAACGAGTTATTCAATAATCGGGTGTGGTACACCGGGAACATAAATTTAGACTGCCAGTGCCAGACCTCCCCCCCCACCCCCCATTCTCCCCAAAGAATTCAGAAGGAAAATTGCTAGTAAAAATTTTTGCAATGTCAAATCTTTATTCGACTCCTAAAAATATCATTAAAAGTAATTTATAACAACAAAACATGCCATTTTAATAAATATTAATTAACTAAAGTTTTTAATAAATTGTAGAATTATAATAATAGTAACCAAAACTAAAATACGTATATAATATTTAATATTCAATTATATAATTAAATTAAATTATTCAATTTAATTTGTTTATTTAGTGGCTTCTAGGAGTGCCGTGTTGGCACAATTTGCTTTGCCAATATCGTGTAAAATGGAGAAGACAAGTTATAATAAAATTATTAAAAATTTTTAAAATTAAAAGTAACGAATATTGTGAGGTACTTCGGTGCCACTTGACTATTAAACACATCCTTACTTAAATGTAAAGTGGACTCGTTTTCCGCACTTGGACTCAAATAAAAAAAAACATATTCACTGAGGCAATTTCAATGATTCTAAATACGATATCTCTGTAATATTTTAATAGAGTTGTTTATCTTGCAGATTCCAGGTGACGCTACAGCATCAGGCCAAGGTTTACATATCTTTGCAATGTCATCGAAGTAACGGGATACCGAGTTTCAAATCGATTAGATCTGTGGAAGTTATTCATATCCTTTTACAATCTAGAATTTCTTGACTTATAATTAAGAACACTCGATCAAGTAATCTTTTAATTAAAAAAGAAAACTATAATTTAAAATTGGTTTAGCTGCTTGGGCGCTAGGATCTACAAGTAAAATTTTTGATTCCTCTCTTTTTAGGTCAGGGATTAAGAATAAAACCGCTACAAAATCCGAAAAGATATTTTCATTTTAAAATGTCAAATATCCGCGTAATAATTATCTAAGAAAGTATCAAATATGGTTTATGACTTTCATGTTATTTTATAGAATAAATGATAATTTATAGTATACTAGAATTGCCCGCGGCTCCGCCCGCGTTCAGATGACTACAAACCAAATTCTTGGGGTTACATATTAGTTATACTCTTACATTGCAATTTTTTATTTTTTCTTAAAATGAGATGTTTTCTCGCGGTAAAAAGTATCCTATATATTGACCCGGATAACCAGCTATCACCATACCAAATTTCACCAAAATCCCTCCAGTGGGGTTTCTGTGATGCGGTAACACATAGACAGACAGACAGACAAAAATTCTAAAAACTATATATTCAGCCTCTATAGCGATAATAATGTTTATTTCAATAAGATGTTCCAATAAATATTTAATGTACAGATTCGGCTTAGTTACAATTTTATTATATGTATAGGTTAATTCATTTGACACAGTGCAAATATATTTGTCTTATATTTACTTACGAACTTGGCTTCTCAACTATTCTATGCTCATATGGATTATATTCTTCTTCTTTATTATCTTTATTCATTTTTATTAATTACACATTCACACTATAGGTACTTAAATATACATATAGCACATTTAATAAGCACATTTAAAAAACTGCAGTAAAAGATATTTTTGTGGTTTTGTATTTCGGCTTAAAGTAAACAATGCTCGTGGCTTGATGCTATAACGATTTTCATATTATTAAATTCTACAAGATCATATAGAATGATAATTATAATTGTGGGTAAGCCTTAAGTTAATATTGAATGGTTCATACGCTTAACTGATAAGCCAATCGTTGCGAACCTTTCCGCGCTGGGTTCTAACAGAGCTGTTATGACAGATGGTTACAGTTTGACGCAAGCGTAAACTACTCTTATTTATTTTTAACCGACCTCCAAAAAAGAGGAAGACGATGTCTATATATTATGTATGTTAAAATTAACCAATCTGGCTTGTTTAAGTTCTATTCTAATAAATCTTACATCTTAATATGGTTTTCGTCAAAATCAGAAAGAATTAAGAAATATTTTTACATTCTAAGTGTTGTATTAGATAAAAATTTAGCAAGTTTTTTATATACTAGTGACTTACATTTGCTTCACTCGAGTGTGTTCCTAGGTGCTTAACAAAGCTTTCAACAACTTTGTTTACTTTTGAAAGTGAATTTAGTGTGAGCTTTCTAACACATGAGCATGTCCAAGGTTGAGGCTATGGCAATGTAACCTATATAAGTAACTACCTACACTTAAGTTAACATTGCACAACTGTTTTTACTAATAGAAAATCTCAATAACGTTATAAATGCGAAAGTTTGGATGGATGTTTGTTACTCAATCACGCTAGTACAGCTGAACGGATCTGGATGATATTTGGCACAAAAATAGGTTATAGTCTGAAATAGCACATAAGTTACTTTTTAACCCGGAAAAATGTACGGTTCCCGTGGGATAGTTTGGTTTTTGTTTTTCACTAGGGACAAACCCGAGCGAAGCTAGGGTGGTTTCTACTTAAATTTTTTTTCCAATAGAAATCCATAATTTGCCATGACAATAATAATAATCATGACATCATGAAAAAAAATATTTTAACTGAATAATAACAATACCATTGTATTTCAATCATTCAAAAATGTAATGCAATGTTTAAATATGATATAGATTAAATATAACCTTGCTCGAGTGCTAATAGTATGTAACAAGGACAGATTAACTATTTCTCTGATATAGTGCTATAATAATTTTGTTATAGGTAATTGTCTTAAAGCTTTCGATCGTGATCCTCGAAAAAAGAATTTATTTAAAATTCGTGTAGTTGTAATAATATTCTAATTGTTATTAAATTTTTATTAAAGACTAGCGACTCACCCTCGCTCTGCTCGCGTTCGTTCTTACTTAAGTTTTAACGTTTAGTATAGACTTCTCAGAGATGAGATATTTTTCCGCAATAAAAAGTATCCTTCCTATATGTTGACCCGGATAACCGGTTATCATCATACCAAATTTCATCAAAATCCATCCAGTGGTTTTTCTGTGATGCGGTAAGAGACAGACAGACAGACAGATAGACAGACAGACAAAAATTCTAAGAACTATAGATTCGGCCTCTGTATCGATAATCAAGTCTATTTCAAGTCAATTTTCAATTAGATTTTCCAAAAAATATTTAATGTACAGATTCGGCTCGGTTACAATTTTATTATATGTATAGATTAAATATTTATTATTATTACTATGAAAAAAATTGACTTTAAAAGTATTACTAGATCCATGTTTCTTGTTGCGTATTAAATATCTCAATTTGAAATTATGAGAGGCTATAGAAAATAAGCACTTGTTAACTTAAATAACATATATTAAGATTCTAGCTATAAATAGCTATATCATTATTAGAAACTATGAATAAACGGTTTAGTCATAATGAATATTGGGAACGGAAAAATTAAGTCATTACGTCAATAAAAGAGACCATGTAAATAAGAAAGTATAATACACACTTACAACAAGAAAGGAAATGGTGTCGCTTAGAATTAAATAAAGATATAAGAATTGAAAACAGTGCAAGTATTTAACATCAATCTACAAAACATACATTCAAAATACACTTCAAACTTACGTTTTAAAATAAATAATAATAAAAGCTCCATTAAATAAATCGTAATATAAATGTAAAATAACAATAATCACATAGTAAAAGATAATAACTAAAAGGAGGACCTATAGGTTTAGATTAATTTATATGCTCGAACAAAATTTACATTTTGTTTTTGTAGAAGTTAATTAGGTACGTATACTATATTCTCAACATAATACTTAATGTGTATACAAAAATAATATTTTTTTAAGTTTTTATTATTTTACAACAGAGGAAATTAAAGCTTCATTATAGAAACTTGCAGAGTTTGATATTTTGTGTGTGTTTAAAGTTTATGTCATATTTTTTTATCACTAACTCTTAAAAACTATTTTATAACTTAATATAATGTAGTTACATTTCAGCTATCATTTTTATATATTTAGCACATGGACCACATTAAATAGAACAAAAAATATTTTTTATTCAATACTTTGAAAACATCAGATAATTCCTCGAGCTTGAAAATATCCAATTTTTTTAACTTTTGCTCTTTGTTATTGATTATTTCTTAACCACCATTGGTTATTGTTAGCGAATCTTGATTGTGGTGGGGGGAAGAAAGATGATCGTGGAAATTGTCTACTATATAATTGCGAGTTCCCAACAGTATTGATTGCGTTTTGAGAAAAGACAGGATTGTAAGTGGATACTAAAGGTTTGGAAGTAGTAGCTGGTAAGAAAATTTTTGATGGAATTTGAGAAATTGTTTCAAGATGTGGACTGTATAGCGAAATTTCTTTTGATACTAGTGTATTAAGCGGTTCAACTTCACAAACAGTTCCTTCAATCAATTTTTCTAGGGGAGCAACGAATATTCTAAAATTAATATCACCATAGTTCAATTCTGATTCCAAAAAGACTGGCATACGGTCTGATATTACCCACACATTTCTGCCTGCGTCAATTTTTACGTCACTTGGAAAGATTAGACCAACGTCATCTTTATCAGCGACAGCAATATTTTGAGGCTTAAGAGGAATACGAGAACTCCAGCAACCGATGGCATTTTGATCAATTAAGCTGAATAGTTGAACTCCTGTAACGTCTATTACTTTAGCTGTAGTATGTGTGTCGCGTCCACGATTACCAACAACTTTAAAGTCATTGAAGGAACCTTTAGTCGCTTTAGATTCATCTCTCAAAATGCGAGTTGATACAGCAAATTCTGTATTACTTGAAAGGGCGCTGAAATAGAGAGTTCTGTATCCATCTCCTCCCATCGGAGATGCTGATATACCGAATATACCTTCAGCACCCCATTGGAAGTTGAGACCAGCGATGTTGAAATCTCCAACAAGAGGATCAGGCATGAAGTAGCTGTGACTGAATCTCCAAGACCTATTTTTTTCCCAGGAATAAGCAATAAGTCCATAGCCAAGTTCATCAGAGAAATAGGCGAAAGTGTCGTCACATGAAATACCTTCATCGAGCGCAATATTGGCAATGAATGTGGTAGAGACGATATCTTCTGGTCGGAATACATATCGTCTAATACGTTTATCAGTGTTTAAGTCGAACACATTTAGAGTATAGGGGCAGACGTTGGTTGTATTATCTGGAATGAAATATTTGTTTAATTATTTTTATAATTCACCGTTGTACTTTTGTGATAATGGTAGAAAATAAATAAAAAATATTTACCGTATCCATATGTTCCGACATCAAGAACCCAAAGACGATCACATTTGTCGGCTTTAATTCTGTAAACTGTGTTCAGACCATTTTGACAATCGCCCAGCTCATTTCCCCTGAAGCTTGGATAAGGAGTCAACTTTGGTGAAGGTTCATAGGGTGCATCCAAGGGAATGTAGTTTAATGTTGCTGGAATACCTGTAACAAAATATTATTTTGTATAGCTATTGTTTTAACATTAAATAAATAAAATATGTAAGATTTTCTATTTAAATTTAAAATATGGTATATGAATTCTCATTTTGTACAATGTTTAATTTCTTTTGAATATATAATCTTCAAGGCAATTTCATAAATATTATCGCAAAACACAAAAATTATATCTCGTAAATAATCTTTTTTGCGTCGAGGGTTAAAAAAAACTAAACTTTAAGACGCTAACAAAAGCTAGTAGGTATACCTACACTATATATTATTTAGTCAAGGGCAGGCTTTACTTTTATTATATTGGTTTTATTTATTAGGTGTAATAATGATAAATGGTGAGATTTAATGTTTTATATTATACTTGGTATTAAGGTCGTGGTGATAACATCGTGTGTTACGGATCAAATACATTTCTTATTTTATTCTGTTACATTTACGAGGAAAAATAAAATACATATTTTGGTGTTTTTAAAAAAAAATGTATAATTTACAATTGTTTTGTAATATTTGGTATAGTTAAGTATTCAACTAAGGTTACTGAACATTTATAAATCACCGGTGATTTCTAGGTTTATATGTATAAATACTAAGGATTTATATATACCTAGAAATCATTTCCTACAGGACCACATGTTAAATATAAACATTTATGTACGACGTATGTATGTACGTGTGTACCAAATTCATCACGGTTAAAACGTCGAGGCGACAAGAGGTTATCATAAAAATAATTTTGTTATTTAGATACGTAATGATAGTTGCACGTATGCTTCATAATGATATACTGTATCAAAATCTAGATATAAGGAAGTTTAGCTACACACATAAACACAATTTACAAATGACACTATCCAAATATTTATCACTAGCGACTCACTCTCGCTTCTCGGTTTATCCCTAGGTTGATTCCCCATAAAAATTTCCACCCCCATTTTCACCCCCTTAAAGGATGATTTCCAGGATAAGAACTGTCCTATGTCCTTCCTCAGAGTCTCAAACTATCTTCTTACTAAATTTCATCTAAATCGGTTCAGTAGTTTCGAAGCCTATTCTATACAAAGTACAAACAAACAAACAAAAAAACAAATTTTTCTCTTTATAATATTAGAAAAGAACAATAGATAAAATTCTCAAAAATAAATATAGTCTTTATTTTCCAGTTAAAATTATTTATAGAACATAATTATATAAATACTTTTTGAAGTGTTAACCCAGACGAGTTTTATTTAAAATATTTTACCTTACATGGTATTTAAGGTCAAATATAAGTACTCTGCAATGGTAAATATTTATTGTAAATATGAGACAATATTAAATTTCATGTAAGAGTGCAGTGATGCAAGTCAGGCCGAGTATTAAGGTTTATAAATAAAATCTGCCCTTGATTGGTATTTCATATAAATTATGATCACTGCACTTATTAAATATTCATGATAATTGATAGTGTTACTAACAGTATAGTATTTAGGTCATTTTAACAAAATGAAGTAAAACAACATTGTTTTTGCGCGGGCGTGGTGTCGTGATTACGTTACTAGGTATAATGAGTTTACTATTTAACAGGTTTTATTTTCATAATTATTCATTATAATTATACTTGCATTTATATCACAAAATAGTTAAAAATGTTATTGGTATCGATAGTATTGTTGGACATCGAATTTACATAGTGTTATTGCAATGCGAATAAGTAGGCTATTTTCCATAATAACTCCATTGAATGTGATAAATTGGCCACTACGTAAGAGGTATCTAGTTTAAAAGACACCTTGATTTATTATTTGATGGTAACATTGTATTTCATAAATCCATATCTACTAATACTATAAATCTATTTTAATAGATATTATAAACGTGAAAGTGTGCTTGTTTGTTTGTCTGTCCTTCTTTCACGTCTAAACAGTGACTGACGGTTTGGCGTTATTTTTTGTGTGGAGATAGTTGGAGGGCTGGAGAGTGACATAAGAGGGAGATAATCTCATTATCTCGAGAAAACACGTTATAATACAACCCAAAACAGCTCCCGCGGCTCCGCCCGCGTTCAGATGACCAAAAACCAAATTCTAACATATTAGTGTACTCTTACATTGCAGTTTTTGTATTTTTTCTCAGAAATAAGATGTTTTCCCCTGGTAAAAAGTATCCTATATGTTGACCTGGATAACCAGCTATCACCATAACCAATTTCATCAAAATCCGTACAGTGGTTTTTCTGTGATGCGGTAACAGACAGACGGACAGACAGACAAAAATTCTAAAAACTATAGATTCGGACTCAGTATCTATAATAATGTCTATTTCAATTAGATTTCCATAAAAATATTTAATGTACAGATTCGACTTAGTTACAATTTTATTATATGTATAGATTAAAGTTATTATTTACTACTAGTCTTCTTTTAAAGTTTTATTGTTATAGCTTTTAGTTTGCTTTTGTCTTTGGCCTTGAAGTTTTACAAAGCGTTCAAATATCTATTAAAAATATGTTTATATCTACTGGTTTTTGTATCTACAAGTTTATTTGAAAATTTAATAAAAAATGATTTATGATGCGATTAAAATTACCTGTTCTTATTATTCAACAACTTTAGATGTTCATCAAAAATCAATACTAATTTGTAGCAATAAAAAAATATGTTATTTTGATAAAGTAAATTATGCATGGATAGCAATTTGATCAATAATGGCAAGAACTTATTATTTTTTCTTCATATTTGTATCTCCTAAAAACATGTAATTAATTACCTATATAATTGACCATTAAATCCAAATTTTAAGCTTTGGAATCTTACTGCGCTAGTATATATATAATATTAGTAACTAAAATTATTTGTTAAGACGCTTCAATTTAAAACTTGGGTCAATGATAATATACTTGATGAAACAATTTTAACACACAATACATTGTATGTAAAATTACATCGGTTAAAAGTCGTACTGCTAATTTGTTGAAACCATGGACGATCTCTCTTTTTTAACTGATGATGTTTGGGAAGGCGGAACTGTAGACAATGGCTTGTTTTTCATCGTAATTTTCTATTGATACACGGCTAGCTTACTAATTTGGAACTTCCTAAAGTTTCATATGGAAATGTTTCTCTAGGCTATTAACTTTGGAGAGGGCTAACGAAGTGTAACTTTAATTGATATACTAGTTAAAAAAAATGGTTCTTTGTTATATTGTATCGAGTATTATATGGTGCTCTTATATTTTATTGTTTGTTTGTTTGTATGTTTAAGCACAGTGAAATGAACACAGCCCACCAAAAGTAGTTCTGGCTAAGTATTTCGTTATTGAACGATCTGGTTAAGACAAAGTATTTCGGAATATCGTAAGTTTAGCCTCGCTATAGACGGTGAATGGGAAACCTATTAAAGTGTAATCATGTTAACAGAAGCCAGATCGAATCAGAAGTTCAAACTCACATCTACCTCTTTAAAATATTAGTTTAAGAAATAGGTATATATGTATAAAGTAATTTATAGTTATCTATTATGTGCTAGAGCCTATACAAACATACACTGCTTAGTTCTTTTTTTATATATATCACACCTGCAAATTGTATAGAAATTGTCAACCTTAATTAGAAAGAAATTGAACATGAGTAAAGTTACACAAAATTGTTAGTTATGTTTTACAAAAGTAATCGGAAGTTGTAAAATATACGTCCGGAAAATCATACTTTACTGTGAAGGCTGTTGCTGCGAAGTGTATTGGACTATTGATGAAAAAATTAACTATGCGTTACGGACTAATGACTATCATGTCTAGCAATTTTTACAATAGTGATAGATTTTTTTCAATATATGTGTTAAATATTTATTGTACTTTATGAACAACAACAACTTCGACGTAAAGTATTGAAATGTGTGTGTGGCTATCTATACCTATATATATATATATATATATATATATATATATATATATATATATATATAATATTAGTATATTATAATTTGTGAGTTTGTGACATTGTAGGGGGTAATCTCTGGATCTACTGAGTCGATTTAGATGAAATTTGGTAAGAAGATAGTTTGAGACCCTGGGGAGGCCTGGAATAGGATACTTTTTATCCCGGAAATCATCCCTTAGGGGGGTGTAATTGGGGATGAAAGTTTGTATTGTATGGGGAATCAAGCTAGGGACTAGTGATTTTATAAGAGGCCTATGTTTTTATTGGCAAAAATATTAAGTGTATATTTACGAGTAAGTAACTATATTTGAAATGAAAAATTAATATAAAAGAAATATAATTACATGTGAAGAATGATCTTAACTATAATATAATCGTTTTTCCTCATACATATAATCTAAAATCAGAAAATATGTTATATCCACCACGTATAAAATCTATCTCCCACTCATGCATTCTTTATATAATATGGAAGTATTTTCTATTAAACTATCACGTAATGAATGCTCTTCTATATAAAAAACATCAAATCAGTATAATGCAAATTGAGTTTAAATTATAACTGCCTGTTTTAACTTTAACTTACCTTTAGTGATGTAAGCGACAATTCGACCTACATAGTTAATCAAACTTAAATTATAATATATGTAAGTATGTACAAAAAGTGACCCACTGCGTTAATCTATCAGTTAACGTTGTATATTATATATTTAAATTAATATTTTATTAATACATACAACACATCGATAAAGTGTTCTAAAAAGTTTCAAAATTATACTAAAAATAATATTCTAACTACATTTCATTATCATTATTCAATCATAGGATTTAGATGGAAAAAATAATAATAATATTGTCTATTAAGGAGGTACGTAAGAAACTTGTTCTTTGATTCATTTGATATACTACTTATTAAAATTCTGACATTAACATTATGACCCATAAGGCACAGCCTATATCTCTGGTTCTAGAAGCGTTGAATTTTGCCGAAGAGTTACTTTAATGAAGTGAACACGAAGGGTGGTTTTTTAACCGACTTCCAAAAAGGAGGAGGTTCTCAATTCGTCGGAATCTTTTTTTTGATTTTGATCACTCGAAGACGCCTGAACCGATTTGATTTTTTTTTGTCTTAAAGGACCACCCATATAAATTTTATCGAAATCGGTCGAGCGGTTTTAAAAAAAATGAGCAATAAATATATTTTTAAATATATTGAAAAATAAAAACTTAAAAAAATACCGACTTCCAGACACTATAATGTAAAAATAACTAAACGGAGGTTTTTATTTAGAGTAGATATAATAGGCTGGCACCGACTTCGAAAATATCGGATTATTGAAAATTCATCCTCTAATTTTATTTGGAAATTCGTTATTACTGAAGTTAGAAATGTGGTACAAATCCCACACGGCACATTTATGACGGGCGGCGATAATTATAATAAATCTTAATCGTAATAACTCATTCGTTCTTTAAAATCTAAACCAGCTTTCCGGCTTCGCCTACGCCATATTCACTACGCTAGCTTTTACGTAAACGTGTTGTTGGAATGAAGTAAATTGAATGGAATGGTTTGGAAAGAATTCATATAAATATAGGACACATTTAATTGATGAACTAAACAAATTGAATGATACTTTTTTTAATCACAGTATTTTAAAATTGAAAAATACCATTCGGGGGAATTACAATGGTTAAATGTTTGAATAAAAATATTATCAAAAGTAGGTTTTTGGAAAGATTTCGACATAACTTTATTTTATTAAAATATGGCTAATTTAATTGATATTGCCTTATAAAGATATTATCCTCTTTACATTCTATTTTTATAATGACTGACCCTCCCTCGCTTCGCTCAAGCTTGACGACTCGATTACCAAACGTCGACTTTTCTTTACTTTCTATATTAATGTAATAATGCAAAACTGCAAAATCGAAATAAATTTAATATAATTTAGAAAAACTTTAAATTTTTAACACACAAATGAACAGAAGCAGTAGCAACTTTGTTTTATGTATTATTTATAATATCACTGACCTGGTCGCCATCTAGGTACGCTGACAAAAAGCTTGTCTCTCCAACGTTCGATTCCAACGGGGAGAGCATTTTGTCGGATAAGTGCGCCTGTTTGGAGGGCTTGCTGTTTCAGATACTCGTCAGGATAGTTCCAGTCCAAAACATTCCAGGAGAACACCTCCTGTAACTTAACTGTCGCTGATGCGACGGCTATAAGCCCCGACAATAGTAGGAGTCTTCCCACCATATTTTAAAATCTGAAAAAAAAGACGTAGCTAAGTATAATTCAATAATAGAATCTGATATTCCTAAAACACTAATCTCGGTCACTGAAGGGATAATTGTCTAAAAATATTTTTATAATTTATGGTTTTTAAATTTTTAAAATAATACATAATAATAATCATAATTATTATTTAAAATTATATTATTATTACACGCAATATAAAAAATGTCTTTATCATTTATTAACAAAACACGAGATGTAAGGAATATTAAATATTCATATAACATTAAGTAGATTATTATTGTTTACGTACGATTCACGGTATTGCCGTCCAAGCCAATGTCTGGTCTTGGCTGTTCGAATAAAACTGACATGTAAGAACTCACCCCTACTATTTAAAACGTGCCTCTATCTTCTCCTTCCAACGATAAAGCTGAGGGTACGCCGCAGATGTAAATGTTACACAATCGATCGCGCGTATTTGAGTACCAAAACTTATTTTTTCAAAAACTATGAAGGATATCTAATAAGAAAATAAAACTTGTGTGTATGTATGTATTTGTACAGTTGATTACCTAATTATAACTAAATTTAAAGTTACTAACATTTTTTTTTCAATTTAACACTTATTTATGTAACACTTATGTGTCAGTTATATCTTTAGAAGAAATCAATAATTATTACTAAGATATGTAAATAAAAAATAACAAATATATAGGCTTTCATATTTATGTACATTCTAATATATCGATGCTATCGTCATATGTGAGGATAAATAAGATCCTTATTTTGAATAGATCTGTGCCTATTTTTGAAATGATAAATTTAGTAATCCTGATTTAGTTTATCAAAATTGATTTCATTTCTCTTTTGAACATTCTTTGCCCCCAATTAAAAAATCTATGTCCTTTATTTGTGTGTGAGTATATTTCCGTAAAAGTGCGTTTGTCTGTATGAATGTATGTTTGTTATCCGCATTCATAGCGGATAGGACGATTTCAATGCTGTTTTATATTTAAAATACAATTTAATCAATAGGTTAAAGGGCGGATTTTAGTCAAATAGATAAATAAAATCCGCCCAGACATTTAAAAATTGTGACCGCTATTAAGAACTACATAATGTAAAAATTTCATTGACAAATCATTTTAGTCCATAAAAAAATTATTTTACATATAATTAACTAAAAACTTAGTATAATCCTGCAAATATAATAGTTTGTAGATTATTTAACTCCTTGAAAATTTGGGTCAGGCACATCGTGACTAAGTTTATTCGTCCTTGTTTAGTAGTTGCTGATGATGATCAAGTTGTCGATATATTCTCAAAGTATGTAACACTGTCTTTTATAGATAAAATTTAATATACAACCTATTCCTTATACTTTTAGAATTTCACGAAAAAAAAACATGCTGTAAATATTTAGTCTTGGGCTTTGTTCATAGATAAAATATTATATGAAAGCGGTGAAAATAAAATTAATAAGAATAAAGAAATTTATAATTATCCAAATTTATAAAAATAAATGACATTTTACTTAAAAAGCGTATGATATCAAAAAATGCCAACAGAGTTATTTCATAAAATATTAGATTTATTTAATACTTTCTTAAAACTGAAACGTCGGGAACCAAAAATCCAAATAAATCCGCGAAAAAATCCGAAAGGATAGTTTTATTTAAAATATCAGATTTATTTAAAAAAAAATAGGTAATATGTTAAAAGACTTATTTTAAACTATCAATAATATAAAGCTACATATCATGTTTTTGTATGACCTTGGTAGGAAACACGTGAATTGTTACGTATGCGAATTATTGGAACAATCTTGACCCACGTTTTGGTATGTGGTGGTAGGCTTGTGCTATATATAGTTGATACACTACTCAATACTCATATATAACTTTAAATACATAAATAATACATATAAATACCCATGACTCGAGTACTAACATTCGTGTTCATCAAATATTAATGCCCCCAGCGGGACTCGAACTCGCGATCGCTGGCACATCACGTAGGGTCACTACTAAATGAATCAAACGTGTAGTCAAGAATCATATGTATGTCAATATTACACCAATACTGGTAACTGAGTTTTTTTTATTTTTGCTGAAAAATTTTGCATTTATATGTAATAATAAAAATCTTGAATATAATATAAATCTATAATATATCTTAAATATAAATCTAAATATGGACAGAACTGTAACGCGAATGGTTTAATATAATATTATTCAAACGTTAACTTGCGAAACATGTTTACTGCCTATACTCGTAGCACAAACGTTTTGATTAGAAAGTTTCGAGATTTTGTATGTTTTATCTTAAATTGGGCTGTTAAACTTCTAAATATTTAATGTTATTTCAATTATATGTTAAGCATATAATTAAATTAAATAAAATGCTTTTTTACTACCTTGTAGGTACTAGTTTATGACTGGAAATTACAAAATATAAATTTGACTTTGAGTTCTGGTCTTTTTCTAAATCTAGCGATTGCGTAACTATTTTTGAAATCATTGATCGAGACAAGTCGTGTGGCAATAGTTAAATTATATTCTTTTAACGGCTTTCTTTAGTATGTGTTATTAGTATAGTTAAAATGTATCGTTTGGAATTTGACCTTTAAGTTCCAAACTTAGACAGACAGACCTCCGGCGTTAAAAGTTGAGAACTAGAGCGTATACAGTTAACTCGAGCACGAAATAGTGACCTCCACAAATTATGCCTATATTATGATATGATTTACTATCGATAGAAGCAGGAAATTGTCTGTGTCAAAAATATAAGTTCTCGTGGTCTTTGTAATAACGGAAGATTTATTAAGCAATCTTATTGGTACACAAATAAAAAAAAACAAGTTCCAGACACTAAAAAGAGAAAAATAACTGAACTGTAGAAGTTAGTTAGGGAAATTTGTAAGAAGAAAATATTTTAATAAAATAATAGCTAGAATCTAAAAGTTTAAACTAACTTGTTGCCAATTTTGACATGAAGACTTACAAACTAAAAAACTCGCTTTTATTCGTAACGCTATAAATTAGGCTCTAAAATCAAAATATCGTACCCACTGTATTGGGCTTGTCAAATCAAACGAAATAAGTCCAAATTCAAAGAATTTACTAGTAGCAGTTGATGAGTTCCACCATCCACCTTCTGGCTTTATCATCATATTTTCTATAAAAAATATGCAAAATCTCAAGTCAATCTGTATTAGAAGTAGGTAAAAATACTAATTAGACCTGTCCACAATACCTACATACCTGAAATTTCATGTTTTTTTTCTGATGTTTTCGAAAACGTTGTGCGCTATGCCAAAGAAATTTTTGTGGAAGCACCACTGGTATTACCTTTATATAATACAATTTAAACTGCAAAATCAGTCCTGCCCTCTCCGTGAATTCGGTGAAAATTCATAAAAAATATATGTACATACAGACGAATATAAAACCTTCTCCTTTTTGAAGTCAGCTAAAAAGCCTGGAGGCATAGAAGTCAAAATGATATCTTTTGTAATAATACTTTTGTTTCTCTCCATTTTTCTAAATAAGAAAGATTTTTAATACACATTTATTGGCTTTCTAAGAATATAGTCCTTGTCTAGTCGAAATAATTTCAGCCATTTTTACCTTGAAATCTGCGCTACGACAATTATATAATAATAAAATAGTTGTAATTTAAATAAAAGTTAGTTATAATAAAAAATATTTAAGTGCCCACCAGCGGCGAAGCGCAAACGTGGGTTGTGTTTCATATATCCTTTGTTCCTTCGTAATTGTTAAATGGCTTAACCGATTTTAAGTATTTTATATGTTCGTTGGATTCGTCATAATAACGCGAGTGTGAGGCTGTATTTGTAATTATTAAAAATTAAAATGGTCGATTTCAATCCAATTTGTTTAATAAAACTAAAAATAACTGGCCAAAAATAATAAGATATACGTATGTAAAATTGAATTATAAAATTAAAAAAAACCGACTGTGTTAAAAGCGAACTAAAAAGAACGGAACAAGTAAGCGAAGAAAAATGATATAATGCAATCGGAGACAATGCATACACGTAGCTAGACATGCAGCAAGGACAAAACGCCTATGTCTCTGACTGCATATTGCATATAGGTACATTTATTTGTACTAACTTAATGCGTATTTTCATAATTCTAATTGCTCCATATAACTATTAGGCAAGATTATGCTTAACAGTATTACTTCTCAAATATAACTAGAAATGCAAAATCATTTAAGTAAGACTGTGATAGTTGATCTCTTTCAAATAACCGGGCTAGTGACAAGTAAAGTACTAAGTGAGTAATTTGATGTCCGTAAACTGAATATTTGTAAAATTGCACTGCTAGGTCCGAGGTAAAATTAATTGGTAACTGCGAGTACATACTCGTACCTTGTATATGTGTAAATGTGAAATCGATCATGCCTAACTGTTAACCTGCTTGTCATGAAAATGATATATTAACGTGTACATATTTTATTGATCGTCGTTTTGCTTTATCCTTTTGCATATCTAGCTACATGCTATATATATATATATATATATATATATATATATATATATACACATACATATATACACTGTGTTATATAGCTTTTCTGTCTTTTATACATTAAGAGAACAGATCGACGTGATATTTGAGTGATGGCTCATAGTGTCACCCCGGTATTGGTTTTCGCGGAACATCGTATGCCAACAGTTACCTACTTAGTGACGTTTATATGTTTTTATTGCTTGATTCCCCATACAAACTATCATCCCCATTTTCAGCCCCTTAAGGGATGATTTCCGTGATAAAAAGTATTGTATGTCCTTCCCAGGGTCTCAAACTATCTTTTTACAAAATTTCATCTAAATCGGTTCAGTAGATCCTGAGTTTACCCCCTACAACGTTACAAACTTACAATCTCACAAACTTTGCCTCTTTATAATAAAATAGTAATTAGTATTAATATAGATGTATTAGGAGTTATTTTTGGAAAATAAAATAAAATAATTTTGAAAGGCTATTGTTTTCCTTTTTAGTGTGACATATCCTAGTAGCCTTAGAATTTAACCTTGCAAAATTATTTCTATAATTTATTAAGCTTTAAACTCTAGCTTGACGAATTATTATAATCGTACATTGTGATTGATATTTATTGGGGCTTAGAGCAATTTATTTAACGTGTAAGGTTTTTTTATATCAGCTTAATATAATATAACTAAAATAAGCTAGGTACATATAATATGTATAGTCGATATTTTTTTTAAATCAGTACACTGATTTAAAAAAAATATGGACTTAAAGTTCTAATTGCCTAAAGCAAATCAAATTATACTTGTCTGTTTGGGGGTGCCTTTTTTATATATTGTTTAACTGGATTTTCTTAATTGTAGATATTATTTAGAAATATATATTTCTAATAAATATAAACACTAAAATGTATTTTTAAATGTCAAGTTTTCCAGAAACTAATAAAGAAAAACGCGATATTTTTATGTTTTACACATTTTGGAATTAAGTTCCTTATCGCGCGTTACACGCTCTGAGCGGATGGGGGCTAGACCGAAAATACCCATGTGTTGACCTCCAAGTCAATCTTAGAGACGTGACCCGAGTAACACGGTTGGTTGCTGGGCGAATTGCAATTCCAAACTATCTGGGAGGCACTCAGCTTTTTCAGACTCATCGGACGCTATTGTGCTGTCTGACCTAAGTAGCGAGGGCATGGTGGCAACAGTGTCCTTTCGAAAGGCTCGACAGCTTGAGCCATTGATCCCGAGAGAGATCATCGTCTCAGGCATACTGAAGTATGCCTGAGACGATGGCTCAAGCTGACCCCGAGATGGCCCTCGAGAAGTCTTTCCAACGTGACCTTTGAGCTCGTCGAACCGAGCTCTTACCTGCCTCTTGAGATCGTTGAGAGTGCTACGGTTTCTGTCTGTCAGGTAACTGTCGTGTGCTCTATTAGCTGCGTTTTTACGCCTTAATAGATCACTTACCTCGTCCGTCATCCGGAGGCACTGTTTCTCGAGCACAGTCTGTTGTATCGTTTATGTAATCTGCAAATGAGTTAGCCACCGCTCTTGCTAGCTCAGTAGAGTCGATTATGTTAGATATGGAGTTCATAAGAGGAGAATCTTGCGACTTTAGGAGCTCTGCGAACTTCTTCCAGTCCACAGTCTTCCTCTCTATGGGGACTGAGGGGCAATCTGAGTCTAATTTAATTATTTTTAGCGGGTGATCTGAGACGTAAGGCTACATTCTGTAGAATCGCTATGTCAAGGACTTCCGGCGAGCCTATATGGCCGCAACGAGCGGGACTGGGCGCTAAGGGGCCTATAATTTCAAAGTCGAAGTAAAGATGGCTTACTCGACGAGCGCTCAACCGTTCGAGATGACGCTCGTCGAGTTCCATCGCGTATCCGGAACTGCCCTATAAATCCACGTGAGCGTGGTGGCATAACGGTTATGCCGGCATACCAATCGCAGATCGTACACCTTCTTTCCCTCCCGAAGAGATCGAGTATGACGAGCACCATATCGAATGATGCTTTATCTTTTCTTCCACGCGTACGGTGCACCTCCTGGACGGCAGAGATTGCGACTTAAGGTCGCTCTCACTCAACTCACTAAGGGGTGAGTATAGAAACTAAGAACTTGCTTCCTGTGAGAAGCATAGTCGCAGTGAATAATTTCAAAACCCCTAAAACCCGCTAACTGACAATTTGAAAAATGTAGGTTTTTATGTAATATATTTTTTTATATTTTATTTTAAATGATACAAGTAGCGCAAAACCATTTCTATGTGATTATTATTGTAATAATTATTTATAACCATTTAATAGTAATAAATTCCCTAGATACCTTAGAAAATTATAAAAAATCGAAACTTTATAAACCCCTAAAAAACCCTAAACATTTTTCCCGCCTAAAAAATCTCCGATGCAATTTTTTACCCGCTAAAGGGGGAAAGCCCTTAAGCTAGCTACACTGAGCATAGGGTGTGTGTAAATGCATTTCAGATTCCACTTACCACCCTGATGTCTTTGGAGCAGCAAGGCGGCCGGTGTCGGTAGCAGGGAACAGCAACAGCAGCAGTTGTATTCTCGTTAACGGGGTCCAGATTCCTGGCGAGCATGGAAACGCGTCCGTTCTGGTCAGTGCACGAATAACGACTCTCGTTTGATAAAAAAAATAATTTACCTATATACTATTATTCCCATGAACCAAACCATAGCGCGATTCAGATGGACAACAGCCGTGTATGAACTATATATGTACTTACATCGCTACACACAGCTCTCCCGCGCGCCGAAAGACTCGACGGCTCTCTTCTCTTCGGCTTTTTTTAACTTTTATTTATATTCTTATAGTAAATAATTAATGTTTTTTTCTAAAATTAAAAAAAGAATTATTCATAAAATAAGATTTATACAGTTCCTTGATTTGTTATTAACTTAATTATCCCAGATCATTCAGTGTTTAATTTATATATCACTAGCATTGCCCGCGGCTCTGCTCACGTTCAGATAACCAAAAATCAAATTTTGAGGTTTTACATATTAGTATACTCTTACATTGTATTTTTTCTCAGAAATAATACATTTTCCCGCGGTAAAAAGTCCTATGTCACTCACCAGCCTTCCAACTATCACTCTATGTCATTCTGTTTCGACGTGTAATAGGAACAAACAAATAAACACACTTTCACATTTATAAAATTAGTGTAGATATTTCCTGAGGACATGAATAATCAAAATTATATCTGTGTCAAAATATTGCATTTTGAATTAGAAAAATGATGTAACGAGAAAGTTGAAACTAAGCTGAAATCATTAAATCGTGCTTTTAGCCTAAATGCAAAACATGTAACATCACACATATATATTTCCTTTATCTGTAATTATTTCTGAATTACACAATATTTTAAATAATTAGTGTCCTATTGTAGAAATTGACACGCTATTTGTTATATATTTGTTAGGAATATAATATGTAGGAAGAAAAATGTATTGAATATTGAAAGTGCCAGTAATTAGCATTAAGAAAAATGTTTGTGCTTATAGCTGTGGGCATTTACTAATCTATACTAATATTATAAAAAGATAAAGTTTGTGAGTTTGTGACGTTATAGGGTGTAATCTTTGGATCAACAGCACCGATTTAGATGTTAGGTAAGAAGATATTATGAGATCCGGTATATATTCGGACCGGTGCAGTAGGACTCTGTCGATCCTGAGGAGTCCGACTGGATGGGTTTAACCCCCTTATCTATTTCTCCCGACAAGCAACAATGATTACATTGTTGTGTTCCGGTTTGAAGGATAAGGTAGCCAGCACAATTACAGGCAAGAGGCATATCATCTTAGTCCTCACAGTGACAACGCACCTGCGGTTCTGTATTTTTGTAACATAAAACCTAAGTGCATGACTAAGGTGACAGGTACTGCTTTCCTTCAGGTGGGCTGTCTACTCGTTTGTCACTGAATACCATAAAAAAAGAGCCTTGGAAGGATAGAGGATATTTTTTATCCCGGAAATGATCCTTTAAGGGGGTGAAAATGGGGATGAAAGTTTGTATTGGGAAGCAATATCAATCAATTAATCAATAAATTCGTAATTTTTGTAATACTTTCTAATATCACAAAGTTTTTCTTTAATTTAACATAATTATTATTATAGATAATTTACATTGACCTATAGTTTCGCAATAGGTAAGTATGTATAAAACACGTAATAATGAAGTTATTGCTAAATTGTAATTCCATTTTACGTAAAAAATGAATAAAAACACAAAACAATTAAAAATAAATATGACCTTTCACTTGTTCCATTTATTCCTAAAAATAACTTTTAACTTTACGTGATAGTATTAAAATTTGTGGAATTTTTAATGTCATGAATGAATTTTGAGTTTAAGGTCAGCTCAAATTTGTATCATTCTGGTTTTGAACGTAACAGGTTTTTTTTGAAAGTTAAAACGAGGAACTTTTGAGATTTGTCTCGATACCAACATTTTTTGAGTAAGATTATGTAACACGCACGTGATTATAATCCATATATATATATATATATAATTTAATACATTTTACACCATTTTTTGATTTAAGTACATTCATAAATATTTTTCGCCCTAATAAAATCAACAGACGTTACACTTTATGTATTCATTTTTTTTTCAACCTAATTATACATTATGGTCTCTGAAGACGAAAAATAAACAAATACGGCGGGTGTGAAAATGAAATCATGTATTAAAAAGGTTGTTATAAAAACTTTGGATATCTTTTAAAATATATTGTCCTCAAGCTTTATAAAGATAAAAAATAATTGGTACTAGTTTTAGCTTGTGCTTAAGTTTGTCGTTATGGTTTAACATAATATAGAATACCTATCATTATTATATTATCATACTAGCAGACCCCGCGGCTTCGCTCGTGCTAAACTATTACAAAAACTTTAAAAAGGTAGGTTTCATACAAACCTTATAACCTAACCTTACCCTAAACCTTTTTTACCCCCTTATGGGATGAATTTCGAAAAATGCTGAAACACGTATTTATTTAATTGTATTAAAGGGCATTAATAGTAAGTTTCAAGTAATTCTGACCATAAATATTTTTTTGGGTTGTCTTTAACGTGTTATCCCGTGGGAATGGGATAATCTGTCGCGGCAAAAAGTAGCCTATGTCACTCTTGCCTTCCAATTATCTCCATATAAAAAATCACGCCAATCCGTCACTCCGTTTCGACGTGAAAGAAGGACAAACAAACAAACAAACAAAAACACTTTCACATTTATATTATGAGTATGGATATTCATTTTGTACCCATTCAAATAATTTTGATTCTAATTTAATAAAATCAAAAAAATATATTATAAAAATAAAAACGCGATTGCTTAGAAGCTAACTAAAAAGATGAAAACAAGTTCACGAAGAAATACAAGTATTATGCAGTCGGAGACATGTATATATGATTCACTCTTGCTGCGAGATGCAATTTCTTATTCTACGTTACTATTCTTGTAATTGCATCCAAAAAACCTGTATTTTGATATCCCTTGATTGATTCGGACGATTTTTTTCAAAAAACATAAATTAACGTCTAGGGTTCACCATTTTGGTTTTTAGCAATATCTATATATCCTACTAGAGACACACCCTCGCTTCGCTCGGATTTGCCCCTAGCTTGATTCCCCATACAAACTTTCATCTCCATTTTCACTCCCTTAAGGGGGGATTTTCGGGACAAAAAGTAACTTATGTCCTTCCCAGGGTCTCAAATCATCTCCTTACCTTATCTAAATCGGTTCAGTAGATCCAGAGATTACCCCATACAACGTCACAAACTTTACCTCTTTATAATATTACTATATGTACTCGTAGATGACACTCGCGTTGACAAGACGAATCTAACGACGTATAAATCATTAAAATCGGTTAAGCCGTTAAAATAGGTACATATGTACATATATACGTATATAGTGTGTCTATATATATATATATATATATATATATATTTAAATGTATATATACGTACATACATACATAATAATAATATACCTGCAGATCAAACACATAACCCTCCTTTGTGTTTCCTATAGTAAACATAAGTGGACGCACAATTTGTTTATGATTTTTTTACATACTACATATTTATACTGAGTATATTTCCGATATTTAGTTCGATAACATTTTTGTTTTGGAAGTTAATTTTTATTAAAGGTAAAAAAACTGGTTTATGTTACAATTGCAGAAATTTGGACACTTTATATTTTCAAGGCTATTAATGAAAACCTTGCGCCGTATATTCCTACTTGTAACTTTTCATTATAATATATTCAATCAGGATTTTTGGCATACTTCTGCAAGATATCATTAAAACGACATTTTATTTATAAAAATGTTAACTGGTTTATTGAGAAACGAGGCAGAGTTGCAATATTAGTATTATGTCTGACAAAACGATAGTGAGATTTCTGTGTCGTGAATGCGATCTCATCGCGCCCTGTTATGAAGATGAGGGTACTACAGTTGAAGAAGCTGTAGAAGTAGGCCCTGAGCAAAGAGATACCGCTACTCAAAATTAGTTTAATAAAAGTGACGAATATTATAATGCTTTTTTAATACAAAGGTACACTTGACTTTGCCTACTTCTCTCTGCCTACATCAGAAAAGTTAAATTGTACTTTGAAAGTAGTTATATTTAAAAATAGTTGGGCACCGAGCTTTTGGTACTAATTGATTTTAGCAGGACGAAAGCAGGCAGCGGAAGTATGGCTAGGACGGACGGAACGCGTGCGCATTTAGGTATTTCCTTTGTATTATTAAAACACACATTTTGAAAATGTAAAGTGTATACGATATAGAAAACGTATAGTTTTGTTATTATTAAAAAAAACTGATGAACTTCCTTGAATTATTTACGCCGCACTAAGGGTTTATTTTTTTTTTCTTTAGAGATCATTTTGGATTTTTTTTCTATCGAGGAAACTACGAGTAGTCGTGTTTCTAAAGTGTACGATTTATAGAATAAATCCTTAAATATCCTACATATTAATTGCGCAATTAAAGTTTTAGTAATAACAATATAGCAAGGGATCAAACGAACGCTATTAATTCGTAATTACGTTGGCCCGTAATGGGCCGTAGGTGCTCGTTCAGTAGGTTGGTTATCATCGATTAGCGACAATGCGAGTATCTCAAAAATTTACGAGATGGCGTTATGCTATATGACACTGTCATCATGAGAGCAGATAGAATAAGGTTCTAATAATCTATCTATCTTCTCCTATATATGTATGTATATAAAAACTTAATGTTCGTTTGTTCAAAAATCTCGCAAAGTAGTCGATGGATTGACTTGAAATTTTGACAGATCGTCGCACTTTGTTTCCCAAAGTTCTTATGGGAATGGGAAATATATAAAACTACAAAATAACTCTAAAAAGGTAATTTCATACAAACTTTCATCGTCTATTTTACCTCCTTATAGGATGAATTTCAAAAAATGATAAAACACGTATTTATTTATTTTTATTGAAGAGTATTAATACCAAGTTTCAAGTAATTCTGATCATAAATATTTTTTAGATTGTATTATAACGTGTTTTCCCGCGGGAATCAGATAATCTCC